TGCAAGTACAATGGCTACAAATACATTCTTCCTACACAAAATTTGAGGAAATGGACCCAGGTTATCATTCTGCGCTTAGTTATTACCCCAGACACGTGACCATCACCTTTACACTGATTGGCCGAAAGTGCAACGTGTCCGTGAACTGTGATAAGGGGGTAGAGGTGGCCCCGCGGACAATTTAGTCCCCTATACTGAATTAGGCCTATTACATTTTCAAATATGTCACAACTGGTTTTGCGTACAGTCACTGGCAATTTGCCTCATTTTAAAGGTACATGTAGATGCATCCATCGTAGCCACGTATGCCACGTAGTGTTCTTGTTAATAGTTTTGTTAACTAAAAGCTTAATGCAAACTAAAAAAAAATTGTACCAGTAGATGAAAGTCAGATTATAGTGGGTCGAAACATTTCATTTACTCTTTCTCTTTTGAGCCTGCATACGGTTATGCTGAAAAGGACTCACGTCCGACATCATTAACACTCGTACAGACAACCGCTTCCTGAAAAAAGATGCCTTTTTTAAGGTAGCCGATCTATAATATCACAACATGTAGGAATTAAAACTTGCTTGATTGCTGAGCACCTTTGGTAAGTGCAACTGCCTTATGCTTTGAGAGAACAATTGTATAAAATCTGTAAACAATTAATGTAAAATGTGAATAATATTCTTCTTATTTAGAGGTTGTTTTGTAAGGTCTTAACTTTTGTTTCAAAGCTGCTTAGTATAGCATATGGTTTTTCTTATAATTTAAAGCATGGACTAACATGAGTGTTAAGGCTATTGTCACCCTTCACCCAAAACTCCTTATTTACTGCCTTACATGCATTCTTTTGGGTAAGAAATATATCTTTAGTGATCAGTGACTAAATTGAGTAACTTTTACACATATGTCATCTTACGGGTGACGTCATAATTGCGATTTTGGGTTAAAAACTGCAAAAATCGGTTTCTCAAAATTCTCTCTTACCTAAGCACCCAATATCACCATTTCAACGCCGATTTATTGACACCATTTATTACTCCAAAACCCTGCAGCGATTTTTCTTAAAAGTCTTAGATGTTATCGTTGATAAAGCAAATAATACCTTTGTTTAATGAAAATCTATAATTACGGGCTCATAACTCATAACAAAAGCATTCTAACCAAAACGCTGGCACAGGATTGTAGCTCATACTCTTGCAGTCAACCATGGCAATTTTTGTGATAAAATCTTGTTCAGGGATGAAGTTAGACTCCGTACCGATTTCTTATCTAAACCTCAAAATAGAAAGGTGTTAAATACATGTAGACGATTAAATTTTTGAGTTGCCTATGCTTATACATTGCAACGAAAAAATATAAACGCCGATATTTTATATTATTAAGTATTCAGAAGGGTGCTTTTACAAAAGTTCTACAGTAAATTGTTCAAAAATTTCAAGCTTAATGTTCCTCAAGCAAGTGAGCATCTTTCATGAAATATTATGGAATAAATGAATCCCTTATCTGGATCTTTTGTATCAAAAATTGTATTTCTAATATTTCAGCTGCCAGTATTTAAGTAATTATGTCTTATTAAATGCTCTTATGCAATGCGTGCTTATAACATCAAATCTACAACGTTAAAGCTAGAAAACGACATAGCACAAATTGAGAAACTCAGTACTACAGTAGAAGATAATATCCGCTGACAGAAACGATGCATTCTACGATAAAAGGACATTTTGAAAGTCTTTGAGAGCAAACTCTTTATGCCTCAGTCTTTTTTCTATATTTAATCAGATAGATATCCTTCATAGAAAATGACCATTTCCCGGACCTTTGGTTATGTTAACAAAGGCTAATATATAATCTGGTTTTATAATGAGTGGACAACCCACTGCAATGAAAGAAACACGACATATGATTATAATCATTTATCTAACCAATGCATTTGAAAAAAATTAAATTGAGAGAGTGAATGTTCTGCTTCATCCATATAATGACATCATGGGGGAGAAAATAAATCAAGTGCAACTCCGGATCGTTGCATTACTATCTCATAAGTCCAGAATCGGACTTATTTTCCAGTTGTGACATTAGAAAATGTGTCAGATCTAAGTCTTTTTGCCTTGGTCATTTTTTTCTGTACTGCATAATAAAGTTCAACTGGGGAAAATTCAGGTTACGTTGGATCGTTTACATATCAAGCGGTATGCTTTACCCAAATAAGCTATACCGCTACAGTTTGACAGGTGATAAACAGGGGCGTAACCAGACCTGCAAAATTTGTACGCACAGATTAAAAAAATTACAAGCACGTACAGCAAAATGTAGACTAACGCA